GCCCTGGTTGTTTCCAGCCAGACTCCCAGCTCGGCAGCAGGGTGGGCAGGAAGGCAGTTAATCATAGACAGATTTTTAGTTCCATAGCTTTGGGAAGCTAGCGTAGGAAGCTAAAGAGTGCACCCTGGAGAATCCTGGATGAAGACTAGCTCCTTCCCCTGTTTATACCCCTACAGCCCACGCCCTTCTCAGGGTTTGGTAGACAAGATGGTGCCTGAGCTCAGTGTGCCAGGCAGGACCCATCAGCCCTTGGGCAGAGAAGGAGACATTCTCTTCCCACTCCAGAAAGCCTATTCTCCTACTCACAAAGAGCAGTCTTGGACTCTGTGAATAAAAAATAAGTCATCAGATATAAAACTTAATCACAATCCATTATTGAGTATCTACAACTTACTAGGATTGTGGAGAACATACCAGAGCCATGATTATTGCCCACAGCAGTTGTACTCTAGTTACTCCCAAAGCTTAGGGAATCTTCTCTACATGAACACAATGTCCCCCATTCAAATGAAGTTGTCATGTTTATATATACATACATATACATACACACACAAAAAAGTATATGTATATTATATATACATATATGTATATGGATCTATATATACACAAAAATATGTATGTATGTATACATATACGTATGTGTGTGTATATCTATATCTATATCTATATCTATATCTATATCTATATCTATATCTATATCTATATCTATATCTATATCTGTATCTGTATCTGTATCTGTATCTGTATCTATATCTATATCTATATCTATATCTATATCTATATCTATATTAATGCCAAATGTGTAGAAATTCAGGTGCGAGCAACTTGGCTAAAGTCACAATAGGAGTCAGGTATGAAGCCAAGGGTAGATGATAATGTTTGTTCGTCAGGTGTCAGGAGGTGTTTGCAGCTCCAGAAATGTCCCAACGTGTTTCTTTTTGAGATCTCTTCTAACTACTTTTGTCGTATTCTCTTTATTTCTTTCACCCATGGAACCAAATACTCAAGATGCAAAGGAGGTTAAAAAATGGGCTGCATGCTGCTAATCACCTAGTCACCCATCAGCCTCTTTCTAAGCTCTCACTGGTGGTATCTTTCCACTTCCTACAGATCCTCCTGCTAATGGCCATTCCCTGGTACAGGCTCCACATTACAATGTGAAGTCATTGGCCTTGATGACATCACTGTAAGAAATTTTGCAATCCAGACATAAAATTTTGGCCTACCCAATCTTCTTAACTTCAGTATCAACTAAAGGGTCTCATTTGGTTTATCCATAAATTTTAGGTCATGTTCACATAAACATGTTAATGTACATGACTCTGTTAATATAAACATAACCCAGCACCCAAAAAAAAAGACCCATTTTATTTCAGTTAGGTCCAAGATAAGTTTTCATTTACTGTCCTTGATATAGCAGAGGATATTAAACTGTCATGCCAAGATGAGTATGGCAATATGACAAGTTGGGTCAGGCAGGACTGGGATTCTGGCAAGACAGGAAGGTCCTGGCATTACCATGCATCAGATGAGCAAGAGTTGAGTTTTGGAAGAGCAGAGAGAGTTAGAAGCATAGAGCAGACACCATAGATCTGGGTAGACCAGGAGTTGGGTCCAGAGAAGCCATCTGAGATAACCAGGTACTGCCAACTGAAACAGGCGAGGTTTAGAGTTCCATCAAACTGTTCTATTAAATTTGGAATTATTTAATTCTAATGTCATTTTTGATAAATTTTGATATCATTTCTTAGAGCAATCAAGCAACAAGTATTAATTAAGCACCTGCTATGTCCCAGACACTGTGCTAGGTGATAAGAATTCAAGTGCAAAGGGTGAAAGAATCCCTACTCTTAATGAGCTTATATTCTAATGGGGGCATAACACATACATGTAAAAATATACAACATACATGTTAACTGAATAAATACAAATATATACAAAGTGTTTAAACACAAGGTAGTTTGGGAGGGGGGCCACTAGTAGTTCGAGAGATCAAGAAAGGGTTCATGCAGAGGGTAGCGCTTAGGTTGCAACTTAAAGGAAGAGAAGGACTCTGTGAGGTGGAGGAAAGAAGGAAACCCATTCCAGGCATGGGGGACAGCCATTGCAAAGGCACATACACAATGTGTGACATGTGAGAGACACAGAGAAGCCTAGTTTGGCCAGATGAGAGAGCACAGGAGGAAGGATCAGCCTCCATTGAGACTGGAAAGGGAGGTTGGGGCCAGGCTATATTAAATTTTTCAAACTGATTTAATTATCTAATTTTACATTTGCAATTATTCTGTAAGATACATACAAAAAGTAGTATTGTCCTTATTTTATTGATATGAAAGCTGAAGCACCAAGTATCCAATGTCACATATCTAACTAGCTGTAGGCAGAGTCAGGACTATAACCTGGGTCTGGTCCTATATAATGCATCTTCTCCTCTTATTTGAGTAACGTCGGAATAAGAAAGGCTATTCTCTGTCTCTGTGTTTCTCTGCTTCTGTTTCTGTCTCTTTCTCCATCCATTTATCTATCCATTTGTCCATCCATCTCTCTATCTGTATATCTAAAAGTTTCATTTAGTGTTGTTTGAAAGACACTCATTCTTTTACATCCAAAACAGTTTCATGCATCATAAATGCCAGCCCCCTCAGAAGAAATGTGTGAAAAACAACAGTTGCATTTCCATTTTGGCTCCTTCAGTGGCTTCAGAGTGTGCCCTGAAAAGTCAGGTGACAAGATCTGAAGCAAGGAACTTTGTGAAATAGAATTCCGAAACAAAAGCAGTATTCCACTGTGATCCACATTGGTTCTGAATACTTTTGCAGAGATAAAAATGTTGCATCACACAGTTGTCATATCATAGCTCCTCTCCAAAAATGACTATGAAATAATTACTTTTCACACCTTCCTTCCTAGAGAGAATCAGAAACTATGCTCAAATGGGATGCAAAAATAAGCAATTTAAGCAATGCATTTTTAATGTAGATTGGATGCAGTCCTTAAAGGGGAATCTTGTGGATAAGCTCTTGGTAACAAGCTCAAAGTCCTTCCCACCCACCTCCCTCCTCCCCACATGTTGGAGTACCCGCCACAAACTCCAACCAGCTGGGTTTTAATTGATTCCTAGTATTGCAGTGAAAGTATGGCAGATAAAACATGACAGAACTCTTGCTGATGTAAATGAAAATGTTGGAGCAAAACAGCTGGGGAAAGGAGAAAGACTCTCCAGGTTTACATAACCCCAACATGCTTACATTGTTTCTTCCACGTTTTTCCAGCCCAAACTCACCTGGTTTTGCTCAAGACCTAGAACACCATGAATTGTATCCAGCACCTCATATTTATTCATACCATTGTCAAGAACATCTCTGCAGGCTTGACCAAGGTCTGTCATTGAATATGTTTATCCAGCTGCATGGCAAAAACCATAATACAGTCATAATTTTTGCTCTGTCACCTACTCAATATTTTGCTACACTGATTAAATTAGCTCATAAATAATACTATTTAAACATTAGAAACTCATGGTGTATATATTTAGTTAGTTGAATGCCCTTTTGGGCATTTTCAAGCATTCCTAGTCACTTGGTTACTTCATTAGAAGTCTGAAACAATGAAAATAACCTCTTTTTATTCAGAGCCTTAATGACCTTCTTAAGAAGAGAGATAATTCCTCCAAATGATCCTTCATCCACATCCTGCAATATTATATAGCACCAGGAGCCATTAAAAGGCCACGGTAGAGATGTGAAAAGTTGAATGGTGGGGAACATTTGTGTTGCAAAAGGTAATGACTTCCTTAAGCAGATAAGGCTGAACTTTCTAGTCGTGGCTCACTGTATTTGAAAGTGAGCAGTTGCTCTTTCTACAGAGGCAGTGATAAAAATCATCCCATACTTTTCAGTCTTCCTGGTGAGCCAACAGCTTCTTCCCTATAAGACAGGGCTAATGTGCCCTGTAGACTGTATCTGTGTGCATCTAAGCTGTCAGACTTTTGCCCCTAAATAGTTCCATCGAGGTTTGTTTTTAAAGGGACCTTCAGAAAAGTCTGTGTGCCCTCATCTCACTGGCTTGAGGACTGCATTTTGAGTTGATCAACTAATCAATAAGCATTCGTTAAACAACTACTATATATTAGGCCTTATGCTAGGCCCCTCAGATGCAAATATGAAGAGTGAAACCATTTCCACTCTTATTTGAAGACAAGAGACCTGCCTTTGCCCTCAAACACAGGCGTGAATGCTAGCCATGGAAACCATTTTGACACAGATACCAGTAGAGCCAAGAGCCACATACAACAGGATTCATATCCTTGTAAAACCACCTTCAGAAATAAAATATTGATGGCTGGTACCAAGAGGCAATTATAGATTCTAGAATGGCATCCAAACTCTTTTAGCGGCTGAGGGAATAGCCTTGGTTAGCAACTGCTCACAATGTCAAAGCTTTTGGAAACTTTTTACAGTCATTTTATTGTTTTTATTTCAAAAAATAAAACCTAAAAGAGCTTGAAGAGGAGGATTTTAGAGGTTTGCACAATAGCCTGGTTTTAGTGGTTTTGGTTCTTTGCATTTTACTTTATTTGCACCCACTAAAATTAACCAAAATTAATCCATATTTGCACAAAGGCAGCAGATACAAATGAACTCTCCTCGACTTCATTCTGTGAGCTAGTGAGGGTATTTTGGAATGCATTGGCCCTGGGAGGAGAAGTGCTTATCACAAACAACATATGGGTATTAAAATCTGAAACATCCAAGAAAGAACAAGTGAGCCATTTTCACTTTACTTGTTCCTAATTTTTCCCTCAGAAGATGAATGATTTCTAATCACATTCCATTTTCAACTATGGGTTTTGGATCTAGGGCAAGAGCCAGGTTGGTATAAAAATCCTGGCGCGTCTACAGCCCCTTCCACTGATTAGCTAATGGGTTTGTGTCATCTGCTTTCCTTGTTGTGTGAAAACACACTGAGGAAATGTGTAAGTGCAGTGAATTGTTCCCAACTCTTTTATTCACCTTTCAGCATGCTAGTTCCTTCCCTTGGCATTGATATCATTATGCACTTGTCAAAGATAGACTGTCACTTTAGGGCCTCCATTATGTGCAAGATTTGGCAGCCGATTTTGCCACTGGGATTTGCTTATATCCTCTGTATGTTATTGTACTTCTCTGGCATCCAGTAAATTCCGTAACCCACTTCTTTGATGTTCATTCCAGCCCCTAAATGTGGAAACAATGACTGAAAATTTGGATCAAAGCATCCCATAGATGCTAGGCAAATGAGCTCTATGATAATTTACAAGAGTTGAAAGTAATCTTTCTAGCTAAAATGTAGGCCAGTAGTCATCTAAGAATGGTTTTACCTGCCAAATACGAGGAAGTCAGAGAGAACAACCCCAAAGTTCCAAGAAAAAGAGACCAAATTTAATAGCTGCTGGATTGTGACTTGTGGTCACGTCTAATTAAAAAGTAAGCAAAGTAACTTGTTTTATTTGGTTAGCCCATTAGTTTTCTCAGTCCCTACACTGGTCCCTCTACTTTGTAACCAGAGGTTTATAGCTGTGCCTCCTTCGCAGTGAAGGAAGTCTCCAAATGCCATCTCTATAATGTAAACTTCACAGGGTGCTCATTGTTTCTATGATTTAAGAATGGAACTTTAAAGTCTGTGAACTGTCTAAAGAAATTTTCAAATGAATTATTAAAAACCCTTGAGCTACTTGCATTCAGAGTAGTCACTCTCTCTCTCTAGATTTAGCTGTTTGCTCATGATCTACTTGAATAATACCAGGACAAATAATTACTTCATTCCTACTTATTTCATTGGGTCAACTTTGACTCAGAAAGGCAGTAAAGCAGGTAACCTCACAGAGATGTTTTGAGGACAGATGAGCTAATAGATAGGAAAGTGCTTTCAACTCTTTGGGGAAAAGGTGCTATATAAATCCAAGGTATTTTATGGTTATATTTTCGCTTCGCCCCATTTGGTACCCAGAAATGTGCTACTTATAATTAATACCCAGTATTGAACTATTAAAAATACCCATATCCATCTCTGACTGAAAAAAAAAAAGGTACTGGGAGGTTCATGCTGTGGAATTGAGAAGGATTTCTAGTAGCTGATTGCATCAGATAGAAAGAGAGTCACCTTATTGTCATAGAATTTGATCAATTAAGAAGTCCTGTACCACCAATAGGTATGCTAATGTCAATTCCAAACTGCCATCTTTAAGTAGTAAGGTTTTTTATGACCAGACATATGCAACACTGACATCTAGTGGTTACTTCAAATAATTCCATGTGTATGTCCCTGAATAGAGGGCTATGTGAAAGTTTTAAATATGTGAACGAGCATGTTCTATAGTTTGTATTCTGTTTTGGTCAATTACGGGAGTTTGAGGGTCCAGGTCATGTTGTAATTAAAGTGGAATGCTACTCTTCTGTTCTATCCCCAATAAAAGGATGATTCTGTAAGAGGCATTTTCCATTTCCTATTTCCAATAAATAACTTATCAGTCATTATATATCTAACCTCTGTTGGTTCTCTCCCTCTGCTTTCTCCAGCAGAGCTCATTCCTATTTGTGTCTATAGAAGTTATGTCTGTATTACATGTATTTAAGAGAAAAGAAGCGCTACACATCCAAACGAAATATTTAGGAGTGATAGTGATAATAGCAATGATAGTTGAAATTTATTCAGGGTGTCCCAAAAGGCTTCATGCACTTTTCAGCTCTAATAGTTCACTAAGGCTTTTGGAACATCAGTATAATGCTTTAATGTTTGCAAAGCCCTTTACATACACTATCTTGTTTGAGTTTCACAATAACCCTGTGAGACAGGAATTACAGGTATTTTCTGAAGTTTATGGGTGCTATTGCATGTATTATAATTTCCTTATTTTGCAGATAGGGAAAACTGAGTCTCTGAGAAGTTGAAGTGATTTGCCTGTGTTAACAAAGGCAAGATTTGAAGACAGGTCTTTCTGTTTGACTCCAATTCCAGCTTTCTACCCACCACACAGGCTTCCTCCTTGAGCATCAAAGAGTTGCTCAGAAAAAATTTCCTGGAAATGAGGCGTCTATGAGGCTAACTGTCCTCAGTGATTAGTTATGAGTTAGACTTCCCAGTTTCATGGTCATGCTCTAAAAAGTCGATTAAGGTTTTAAAGGGGGGAAAAATAGGTCTTATTCACTGACCCAAGTCAACTTTAGCAAAGGGTCCATTAAAATGAAAATATATGTGGGAAAGGAATATATACGCTGTCTTTCCTAGAATTCAAGGGAATAGAATTCCCTAAAAAAAAGATCATCTTACTGAAGGTGTTCTATTCTTCCCTCATATTCAAATGCTAGATAGCCTCAAAAGACAGTGATAATCAATTTTCATTTTCAAAGAATAATTCAGAGAGCATCTACCCAGGTACTGCTTAACAAAAGCCTAAAGCAATAAGTATCATGCAGTGAGATGTTTGCTAAGTGTTTTTCGGTGATGGCCGTGAGCACTCTTTAGGGACATTCCTGGAAGTAGAAACCTAGTAGGCCAGGTCAGTCAATATTGATTACTCTGAAATCTGAGTGACCTAGATGCCTGCTCACCTGTTTCTGAGATGGCATGTTGTCAGTGAGACAGCCATCTTCTGCATCATGATTTCCTGTACTTCAAGCTTTCTGAAAAAGGATCCCATTCTATTCTGATTCCTCTGATTTAAAAAAAAAAGATATGTTACCATAAAACAGAAAGAAATGAAGGACACTCCCTCTTCTCTGTCTACACCAAATCTTTTGACTGAAAATTACTGAAGAATAGTGTTGAAGCTTCAACATAACTCCTCCCCCTCAATACACACAAAATCTATCCAGGATATTCTTCAGTTAAATTGAGCCTAAGTACAATGAGAAGGGAGAAATAGAAAGAGGAGAGAAATCACAAGAAAATGGTTAAACTATAAGGATGTATTTTTTGATGTATTTGTGATTTGCCTTAAGATAAACTAATCTCTGCTTCCTTACTTCCCTGGCTTCCTTCAAGTCTCGGCTAAATTCCCCTCTTCTATAGGAAGTCTTTCCTGATCCCCTTTATTTCTAGTGCCTTCTCTCTGCTGATTATCTCCAATTTGTGCTGTATATTTAGTTTGCACATAGTTGTTTCTATATCATCTCCCTCATTAGATTGTGGGGTCCTCCAGACTAGAGACTGTCTTTTGCCTTTCTTTGTATGCTCATCAATCAGCCTAGTGCTGGGCTCATGGAGGTACTTAATAAAGGCTTATTAGATGACTGACGGACAATAGCACTGGCAGCTAGGGGAAGCCATTATCTTCCATGCAAAAGTCATTCCCATTTGTTTCAGCGAAAATTAAAAGTAGATGTACTTTGGGACTTTTAAAGTCATTAGATTTAACAAGGGCTACTGTAAAGTTAATTTCCTTTTAAATTGACACCCCTACACAAACATACATCCTGTAAAATAGAACATACAGATAATGAACTGGGAGGCATTTCTGTTTCCTTTCCTACCCTCAAGGTAGTACATAATTTTTCCTCTCATATCCAGTGTTTTCCTTATGTACATCGCAGGAGCCTTTCTCTTGAATTCCTTGGAGATCCCCCTTCCTTTATTCCACCTCTCTTTCAATTTCTGCACATGCTTGGCTGTGTTCACCCTATCCTGGCTTCCAGGCAAGGCTGATTGGACAGCTTTCAGAGCCTATCTCCGAGGTTTCTTCGTAGACCAGAGGGGTGAGTGCGATGACTGAACTCTGGGAAACACAAAGGCCTCCCCCATCCAGCTTCCTGTCTCCATAGCATTACCAGCTCCTGCCAGTCTGAGGAGCAAGAGACTGGGAGGAAGAATCAATATCTTTCCTTTCTTCATAAATAAAGAACATACTTTTTACCCTTCTGCTTTCTAAAGAGTTCTTCAAGGTGTCAAAGGAAAGATAGTGAAGCTGTAGAATTCCATCCACATCATTCTCCAAACTACAGATCAAGGTGGATTCTTACTGCAATACATAATCTAATAATCCATTTAGTTTCTTTAGAGAGAGGTTATATTTACAGGTGGCATTTGGATGGAATCACATACGATAAACCTGTCCACTCCCATTCCAGCCTCAGAATGCAGAATTTGTTTTACAGGCATTCTAGAATGTTGACATGGTCAATTGGCTGGTTTTTGTATTCTGGAACATATCAGAGCGAGCATCAGTAGGAAAAAAAAATAAATTCTATAAAATGGTGGTGGGGTTTCTGATTTACACACACTGCCGGTTTGAATTTTCACAAAAATATTTAGCTATAGGACAATGTATTAGGCGTATTCTTAAAGGTAAATAACTGCAGCCAATAAAAGTGCAGCCTATAAAGGGTCCCATCTTCCAGTAGTTTTCTGCACTGAGAATTACTACCAGTATAATCATGGCTCCCTGCACACTAATATTTCCTCTGATACAGTATGATCAATGTTGTGGAAAAACATTTATTATATTTCTTCTAGCTACTTAAAGGCATTACTGAATTATGGGCATCGCAAAACGAACCCACTGTGCATTTTTTCTTTATGTGACGTTTTTACAATCTTCATTTTCTGCTTTGCAGGCACTGAGCTATAGAAATCCACATTCTGTTCCCTCTTATGACTGCCATCGGGCCCAGTAGTACCTTTCTGCTTTATTACATTTGAAATGCACTTCATAGGATAATATTCATTTTCATTCTGGGCTGGACTCCTTTTCCAAAGGAAGAAGTTATGAAAGGAATTAAACAATCAGTGTTGTTAATAACACTTCTTAATCTCCATACTTAACAAAGGTTATGGAGTTTAGACTGAAAAAAAAAAAAGGACAAGGGGAGGAGATGGTATTTGACTACATCATTCCAGAATGGCTGATGAACTCGGGAGCGGGCGGGAGTTTTGCAGATCTGACATTTAACAATTTTATTAACATCTCTGCTTATTATGTTCCTTCATCTCCAGAATCAGCAGCAGGAAGAGTGTGTCCAGCTAACAGCTTGCCTGTCTTGGGTCCTTCCAGGGGATGAATCAATTAGCACGAGAAGCAATGATGCAAATGCTCCGGGGTCACCAGGGATGCTGTTTGCCTTTTTGATAGAGAAAGCACGCCATAAATAACATCACACCTCAGGAAATCATTCTGGGCTGCACAGATGCAGGCTAGCTAGCTGCTACAGACGATGAAGGGAATCATTTCCTCCTTCTCTCTATTCCCCTCCACCCTTCCAGTCAATGGATGATTTGTAGTAAAATCAAAGTATTTAAAAGAAGGACAGTGTGTGGTAACAGAGGCATTTTTAGTAATTTGTTAGTACCCAGAACCCATGATTTATGACCCAGAGCTTCAGCCAACTTTATTACAAAAATGACTTCACCTATAATAACCTTATTCAGGGCCCTCTGGAGAATGATGTAGTGCTGAACAGCATTATAATATAACTGGTATTCACAAACAATTCAGGTCTCATTCTCCTTCCCATCTACTCCCCCATTGGTATGCTTTCCTCCTTCACCTGACGGGATAGGTGCAGTTACCACACAGAGACTGTGGTGGGCCAAAACTTATTCTTCTCTATGGGGACATGGCTAGGCCAGACATTCATCGCTATTCAGAGCAGAAAATGGCCTCCTGGATTTTGGTCACATTTTCACCCATCCTTTGTCCTAAAGGACAACCCACTTAGGAGAGCAATTCTACTCTCTTCACCACTCCCTGTCCTTCATAACCAATCCCCTCTGCTCCGCCCCACCTAGAGTGCGTGTGTGCGCGCGCGTGCACACACACACACACACACACACACACACACACACACACACACACACACACACACACTGTCTCTCTCTCTCTCTCTCTCTCTCTCTCTCTCTCTCTCTCTCTCACTCATACTCGGGGCATATTCAGTTAACAAAACTCTGCCACCTGAAAACAGTTCTTTGAGACCGCCCCAGTCCCCACACAGGTGCAGTTTTTAATCACCATGGTAACCATCTGCTTTTTCTGACACCACCAAGGCCCAGCATTCAGCTGGAGTCCCTTGAGCCCACCAGGATCTATGGACTAGCCTTCTATCTTATTAAACTATGGTGTCACTTCCCAGCAATTGTTTTAAATTTATACCCTCCTGTGGCTTAGTGGGATTATGTGTCTATTTGCATTAAAACAGGTTTCTGTCATTAAACTGCCACACCAGAAGCTTTCTTGGGACAAATTAATAAGTTCCAAGTATCATCAAGTAGAGGTTCACTTCACCAAGATCGCCAACAGGGGCAGGTGGAAGTGGCTAGGGAGAAGGAACGCCACCTTGGGAAGAAGTTCTGGTCCTCATCATTTAGCACAGTGCCTGCCTCAGTAAGTACTTCGTAAATTCTTGTTGGCTTGACTTGACTATGAATTCCTTAGCTGGATAATATGGAGCTCAGAGTTGGTACTCATGTCATCCTCTCATAGGATCATAGCTCTAGAGTTGAACGGGACCTTAGAGATTATCTAGTCCAACCCTTTCATTTTATTTTTTTCAAGTTTTATTGATATATTACATACATTTACAGAGTCCTCCCACATTGTGAGAAGTCTCTCGTAATATAGTAAAACAGTTAAGTAAAACTTAACAAGCGACCTTGTCTAAAAATGTATATAATATTTCCCATCTGTAGCACCTCCCCTCCCTCTCTATTTTTAAAAAAATTAACAGAACTCTGTTTTTTCTTACTCTCATCCTTCTGCCTAATTGGGAAAAAAAAGAAATGAAAACAAATTCCTTGCAATAAATATGCATATCCAATCAAAACAAATTCTCCTCATGGTTACATACAAACACATATATGTCTCATTCTGTATCCAAAGTCTGTCATGTCTCTATAATGGAAAGCATGTTTAATCATTGATTCTCTGGAATCATGAATGTTCATTGTATTGATCAGAGTTCTTATATCTTTCAAAATTGTTTGTCCTTCCAGTATTGTTGATATTGTATGAAGTGTTCTCCTGGTTCTACTCATTTCATTCTTCATTGTTTTATAAAAGTCCTCAAAATTGCTCAAACTTTATAATACTGATTTTATAGTACAAATTGTTCTATTTCTGCTTACTTCTCTGCATCAGTTCTTATAAGTATCTCCATGTCTTTTTTAAATCATTGATTGACTCATTTATTACAGCACAATAATACTCTATCACAAAGGTGGAGAACCTGTGACCTCAAGGCCTTCTAGGTCCTTGGGTCTTTTGACTGGGTCCAAGTTTTATGAACAAATCCTTTTATGAAGGGGATTTGTTCTGTGAAGTTTGGATTCAGTCAAAGGGCTGCACTTGAGGACCTAGAGGGCCGCATATAGACTAGAGGCCACAGGTTCCCCACTCCTGCTCTATCTCATTTATATACCATGATTTATCTATTCCTCAATTCTTGGACATCCTCTTGGTTTCCAGGTATTTCTTCACATTTCACCAAGGAGCAATTTGAGGTCTTTCTAGGTCATGAAATAACAAAGTTGGTGTAAATAACAGAGTTGGAATTCAAACCCAGGTCCTCTGACTTCAAATCCATCTTCCCACCACCACCTTTTCCCATTACATCATAAGAATATCACTTTACTCTAGGTGCCTATGAAACATTTAATATTCTATTTCCCCAACTTCCCACATCAAATATGCCCTTGATTTACTCTCTAAGAATATACATACTTACCTCTGCTCCCTTTCCTCTAACTGTGTATTGATCAAATTTTGTTTGTTTTTCTTTCTGCCTGTTTGTCAGCATCAGCATCCCTATCTACCTTAGAACACAAGAGGTCTGGGACCTCTTATAGTTAGACCTATGTGTCTATGTAAGTATGTATGATACAACTAGACAACACCAGGCTAGTCTTACAAGGAGCCCTGAAACTCATCAAGTGCTTTTTTTTAAATGAACCTCATGTTGTTTGATAATATGTATTAAGATAATAATTTAAGAGGATTTTACTCTAAGGATTCTGCCAAAGTTTTGTTTGAATGGAAGGATTTTACCACTGTAGAAAAGTTTGAGGAGTGATGCACTATGCAAATAAAAACATTGACTTTTTTACACAGTGATGCTGGAAAGATGCACCTTCATGTCATCAATCAGGGACTAGCAGGCCAGGCATAGCAATGACAGTGATAAGGGACCTCTGAAGCTTGCCCACTGTAGTTTATGAGCCTCAGTTTCTAAATCTGTAAAATGGGCATATTTGACGGAAGGAACAATGAATTACCTCCTATCTCTGATATTCTTGACTCTATGGCCCAGTTCAGCACACACATGTATGTTTATATGTCTAAGTGGAATTTTTCTCACACGTAATACATAGACAAATTCCATTACAAGGAAGAGATAAAACTGGCTGTCAGCCAGATTTCAAGGTCCAGATAAGATGTGATCTCATTTCTGTATAGTCTTAACAGGGGACAGTAATATATGTATGAGAGACTGCTATATTTAGGAATGACAAGATGGGCATTATTAATAGCTTAATTGACATTAAGGCAATTACCCCTACCCTTATTATAGTTTGTAGAATTACACAGAAAATATTGGCTGAGGTCTTATTTTCCCTAGAGCTACCCAAGGATACGGCATTTTATTTCATGCCAGATCCAGGGTTTGACATTAGATACTTAGCCATAGAGTGATTCCAGTAAATCATTATAAATGCATTATAATAAAGATGTTATGAGCTATCAGATATTAACCCCCAGCCCCTAAAGAGAGATAAATAGTCTGGTTGCATGATTCCTGCTTTTCGTTTCATAAGAAATAAGCTTTTGCAAAGAGCAACTGACTAATGAATTATAAAATGGTATGTTGAGCTCAGATAATTAAACAATGCTTTTTAGTATCTGCTATAGGATGAACACTAAATTATACACAAACCAAAAGGAAAAAAAAAAGTCAACACTGTTCAAATGACAGTAAGGGTTGGTCTACAGCCCAGGAAGGCAATGCTCCCTGACTTTCCCAATTAGAGGGTCATGGGTCATCATCTGAGCCATAGAAACAGGCAAACTAATTCAAGTGCCAGCCTTCGACCCCTAGAAGTGCTAATATCAGACATAGCCACAAGG